GATACAACTTTTTCTTCATCTTGTATGGAGGTTTGTTAATTTTCATCTTAATAAATCGGTTTTTCTTAATTCAGTTTGCTTTTCTGTACTCATTCCTTATATTTTTATGTCGGTTAGCGTATGCGATCATCAAACAAGACACCGAAATGATGACTGTATTTACCACTCCTTCTCGAAAGATGCTCGCACTTTGCGTAACAGGCATATATCAGTCGTATTATAGTATATTTTCTGAACACAATGTTTTTACACATGACGTTAGGAAACTTATGTTATTTTAATCCAGTCACGATGTGTTTCAAAAAATTTGTTTTGAAAAACTATTTGTTTTAAATGGTCTCTTTATTGATGTATCTTTAAATCGTTTAAGTTATTTAACTTTGAACAAAAACCAATGAAGATATAAAGCAATGAAATACAGTATTCTTCTAAGTAAGTCCATAAAAGGACCTTATTGTATCTTAATTTGAGCCAATAAAAGATATACAAAAGTTATTTGGTGGTGCATTATTAACAAATTTACATATTTTATTCAGTAGCTTATTAACATGAAAAGAAATTATTTGAAACACAAATCGTGATCGGTTCTTATACTATTTAAATGTATACAACTCTGTTGTTCGCTAATTGGCATAAATACTCTACATTTTGCGACAATTGTTGAGTGGACAAATTTTTCCGGGGTACAAAAACTATAAGAAACGTATATGTCACGAATGGAAAAATATGAAAATATTTTGAAACGTATTCTCTGTGTAAAAAGTTTTTATATGAAAAATTAATTGGCGCGTTTGAAATCAATCTATTGCTGTATAATATATGAATTTCACTTTCTAACGAAAAGTTTTTCAATCTTTTTGTAGTTAATGAAATAACAATTAAAACATTTTCCCTTCTTTCCCGCTGTTAATATTAAACGAATTTAAATTTTAGGTAACGATCATCATTTTCCTTTTAAGCGGCGACTTTGCTAAATTGATAGATACAATTAATCACTTTTGTTTCATGCAAACAACGTAATTGTAAACTTTTTGTAAAAAATCAACAATCATCAGATGAGAAAATGCTTCGATGGTACGTTGAAATGGCCGCGTTGTGCTCAAAAGTCAATCTCTTCTAAATCTTCTCCCCTTTCATTTCACTGAAAGAAGGGCTTAAAAGACAATGTTTATTTTCTTATAATTAGTTTTTCGCGGTATGATTTTATCAAAAGTGAAGTTTCTTGTACCAAAATACACAAGTAAAAAAAAGAAGCAAAAGTTCCAGTTATTTAGAGGACTGATGAGCACAATACACAATAACGTGAATTCGGAAGAGGGCACGTGTGAGAATCGTCACACATTTTGTCTACATTTACAGAGCGTACTGATTTTTGCCGTTCAACAAGATCATCGAAATGTCGGAATATGTCACGAAATCTGACAAACAATGTTTTCTTCTTGAAATATCATACGTCTCTCTGTCTCACACGCACACACCCTCGCTCATTTACTCACTCATTCACTCGTTCATTCATTCACTCGCTCCCTCTCCTTCTTCTTCTTCTCTAAAGTTATCGGGAGATATCGTCACGGTAAAATGTTTTTCGTTAACATAGAAATTTTAATAGTATCATGGTTGTTAGTAATTGCGATTTTAAATCGAATTTACACCATTGTGTTTATCATTTCTCATTTATTTCATTTAAAACAAAAATTCATTATAGCTTTTAAAGTTAACATAACATAAGCAATGATCGTCATGTATTAGGGCGACGTAAAAATACTAACATAAATTTTTTTATTACTCGAAGGCATAGAAATCTATGAATTCAAACAAATGTCGTTTCGTAAGTCATTTACGTTCGTCGTTCCACATTGCAAATATTTAAAAAATGCGAAATTCTAAGCAGCCTATCCAAACAAGCAATTCTCGGCAATCCAAACATTCTATTCTCATTCATGATTCGTATAATAAAATATAGGGCAATCAATACAAGTTTAAAAATTTCTCGTGGCATACAGCAGAATTCTTTTTCGAGAAAACGACGCGTAAAAATATTCTTAACGCTTTCACACTTTGAGTTGAGCTCTGTTCACGTAAATCATAATGTTATTAATGAAAAGGATTCATAATCGGCATTATTACAAATAAAATATTTTAAATATCGGAGTCATTAGAGTTATAATTGTACTACCGCATGCTTCGAATAATTCGACAAGAAGCTGACAACATACCGCATATAATAAAATATTTAAGTATCATTTGAGACTATATTTCATAATATTTCGTTTCTATAAAATAATACAAAACGGTCAATAAAATAGTTTTAAAAAGTCAACCTGTTTAATATATACGCCACAACAAAGAATAGAAATATGCAAAATATTTTAAGAATTATTTGTTGCAGTATATGTAATTAATAAGTGTCAAAAAATTTACATTGTTCGTCGTGTCTCATTTAATAATATTATCATATCGTTATTGACACAATTCATTTGTATTTAATATTTCGCATTCTGGCATTGTAATTCATGTTCCTAACTGTTTGTACCTTACAAACAAATGTAAAAAGCATGCGACGACACTTTGTTAGAAGAGCCATATCAATTGATACAATTATTGAAGTTTGGAAAAAAAAATGCTAATGCCAGAAAACGATTGTAAACTTATGCCGAAGATATATTAATATAATATAAATAATGTTACAATTATCAAAGTGAAACGGCAAAAATCAATTACGACTGCCATTGGAAACATATGTATATGAGTACGCGCGTATCGTTTATTATAAAGTATCTAGGTTTTTGTATGATTATATCATTCTTGATCAATCTTACGTGTATACTGCCTTTTAACTTTCTTATTACTGTTTCCTGTATAAATATGTATTGTTGTTAAATTATGCAAACCTCGTTTGTTTAAAGTCCTTCATCGGCAACAAACTGACGTTTGCAACGTCCTCTTTTCTATTCATCAAAGTAAATAAAAGAGTCGAGTTTACAATGTCAGTGTCCTTTTCTTTCACACTTAAAGGCTAAATCCTAAAGCTGCACTCTTATCATTTATCTATGTATATTGTACAAATAACTAGCATTTGACGCGACTGTTTGCTAGCAATTACTTGCTAAACCGTTTACGTTAGTGACATTGTGTATAAAACTCTATTGGAGTATATGCTTACACTGGTAATTCTTACTTTTTCTTCTGTTTAATGCATTTTTAATAATAGTAATTATCACTTTTTCGCTCTCTAGGCCACACAGTTTGGGTGCCAAAATTTGTTAATGACGTTGCACGCGACTAAAGCATTTGGAGTGTTTGCAGAATCGGGCAGGACCCGAGAGGCCAGCTGGGTTCATCCTCACTAGACCATATTTGTCTGTCCGTGCTCATAAGCAAAGTATCATAAGCTTCTGTGCCGGACGCGGCGTATCCGTGCCCAATGTAAGACCAGTCGGCTTCTTAAGATAGACAAATAAAAAACTAAGAAGGGAACGAAAAAATAACGGAAAAAAGGAGGCTTCCCTCGTGTTTTCCTTTGCATTCCTTCATAATTCTGTTTTTCAGTTGGACTTCTCGTTCCTATTCTCTTTTCTCTTGTTTCCTCCTTTTTTTGTCTCTTTTTCTTTAAAAAAAGCTGTTCGTATATTCTGAAAGTCTCTTTTTTCGTCATGAACGAACGAAGAAATTCTTGTACGATGAGTTACTTTGGTAACTTTTGCTTTTTATGTATTTCTCGTTTTTTTCTTTTTTTTTCGCAGTTTTTAAATTGAAGCATTGTATTCTTACTAATGTCGGTAGCTTTTTTTTTAAGACGTTTACACAGTAATACTATATTCGTAGTGCTTTTATCTCAACATATTCTTCGTAACCAACAAAACGACGAAATGCAAAGCAACACAACGGGGGAAGAACTTCCAATTTTCTACTGCCCGTTCTCATTTCCCTCCTTTCTTTTCTTCTTTTCATAAACAGTACGATAGGTGTTACAGTACCGTCGTGAACTTTGTATATACAGTATATATAATCACCTAATATATTTTGACGGTACCGTGATTGCGGCGACAGTACATATAATCGTCTATCGTCGTAGTTTCTTTTGTTCTTTTTTTCATTCAGTGAATAGCAACTGGACTTTGCTGGACACATACTCCAACCATAGGACTGTCTTCCCTTTCCGGGTCTCTCTGTTTACCGGTTGAGACTGTCGACGGTTGTCTGACTATTCCGTGCGTATCAGTCGTCGAATAACCGTAATTGTAAAAGTTCTGCTGCTGAATCATAGGTGAGGTCATCATCGCAGGCAGATGGGGTATACCAGGGAGAATTAGGCTATTATACGATCCAAGAGAGCTTTGTATCAGGGAGCTGTCTACAGATTGCATGGACATTGGCCCGGATGCAGACACCCCAGTGGCCGAAGTTGACGGATAGCTTGTTGTTACGACGCGTCGATTGCTCAAATGACGAGGCGAAGACTCGCATTCCATTGGCTGATAGCCACCAGGGAGACTTGATACTTGCATCGGATTGCCACTCTTGTTGCTTCCCTGTCCTGACATGGTTACCAGTCCTGGGACATTAAGAAAACATAACCTTAGATTGGAAAATAATACGATGTCATTTTCACACTAATGCAAAGATCATTCAATGAATTACTAGCTCTGACGATAGAACGTCACTATGGGAAAGTTAAAACAAATAAAAAAAGACTCCAAAATACTACTGGGATACATTCCAGGCATTGAACTTAACGTTTTGATTTTCTCTCATTCAAATTGACAAACAACCTAATTTCTCCTTTAATACTTAAATATGTTGAATGACAAATTACAAATTACACCTAAGCAACAATTAGCTGTTTTTGATCATGTCAGGATAATCAAAAGATCAAATAATAATCTTCAGTAAACTGCAACGCTGTCACTCTATACGATGTAGTGCATCTTGTCAAAACTATAATTCATGCATATTAAGTTATTGTTAAATAATTTGAGAGACGATTTTGAAGGATGCACCTTTTATAAAAATGTTATTTCCGTTAAATTTCATTTTATATAAAATATTATTTATGTATAAGATTAACTTACAGACTGATAATTGTTGTTATTGAAAGTATTAGCACAGTATTAGAATATAAAGTAAAAATGAAACATACTTTTACTTGTGCAACTTTTATATTTATATATGGACGACTATCGTATTTCGTATTCAAGTACAAAAATGATTGACACAAATTTTAAATAACATAAATAAATGTAAGAGAATTCATACATTATTTTTAAACTAAAATTCGTACAATTTTAAAGTACTTTTCCAAAAGTTATCCATGTTTTGTTAGTTTTATATTGTTAATCACAATGTTAGATAACATCACTTATTATTTATAAATCGTCTTCTTTCATTACATTATTCCGAATTTCTAATTGTTACAATTTTAAACAAATCGTAAACATTACACAATCGTAATATAATTTTCATATCTGTACATAATTGTATTATCAATATAGATATAAAATTCTGTAGAAACAATTATAAATATAATATATTCCGTAACTAAAATTTTTTTTTACCCTCGCTTTTTCTTAGAATTTTTACATTTCAAGAATAGGTTTAATAACAAAGTGGTAAAATTTCATACTACATGGAATAATAAAATAATGTGCATGCATTTTATGGCTTGTAACTATGACAATTGCAAGGAAATATAACAGTTATACTCCATAATAAATTGACACTGATTCAATTTTATACTTATACATTAATCTTTAACTAAAAAATTACAAGTTTCTTACAATTACTCTTCAAAATCGTCTTGCTCTACATTCTAAGATTCCTTACTGTCCAAACACTCTGTATCCTTATGTATATAAAACTATAACTAGTTATATATTAAATATAATTCATTTTAATGATTATTTAGATACTTTACTGTATATTAATTCTCCTCATTCCTAAATAAGAATATACAAAAGAAAAAGAAGAAATCATTCCAAAAAAAATGAAACATGAAGTGAAATATGTGCATGTTATAAAGTCGACGAAATGCTCACTGTAACTGCAAAAAAATCTAATGTTTCGCATATTATATGATAAAGATGCACTCCAGAACGTGCTATATGCAAGCAGTTAAGGCATGCATGAAATAAATTACAAGACAATGAAGTAGTCACTCTACAGAATAAAAACTTAAAACATATATGCAAGTCAAATACTTTTAGTTAAGAACATGTTCTCTGGAAACGAACTTCTCCAAAAACAATTGACAAATATAACACACATATGAAATAAAACATTTTACAAATGGTTATCAGACAAAGTTCTGTTTCTTATAAAATAATATAAACAGTACAAAGAACATATTCCCATATGAGGCTATTCGATTATCCATTGCTTTAAATTATAATGTACTATTTTATATCGACAAAAACATCCTTAGGTAAAGGTAATTTTATAACAAATATATAAAACTTGTAAGAGTATATATATATATCGTATCGAATTTTAGAGACACGGGCAATCAACGTGAATCCGTGTCTCGTTTTCAAGGAATAAGGGAGTGCGATTTTCTCGTTTTCAAGCAAGCAGCAAGGCTTCGCATGTTACATCCGAGGTCAGGATATGATTATCAGGGACATTGTTAGTCTTTTAGCTTTGTAGGATTGTTTGTTAGACAGAACTTACTTATGTTAGTAAGTAAGATTAGGGTTGGGGCCTAGGACAGGTCGTCGCCGCCCCGCGGATACGACAGTCATCGAGCCACGTACTGTCCCCCCATCATATCTACGGGCAACAACAAGTATTGTTTAGTTTGCGCAGAAAATAAAAGATACTAATAAAGTATATATATACTTTATAAATAACATTATCATCTTTTTAATAAGACAAATATAATTAACAAAGCAATTCTTGTATTTGATATTGTATAGACAAGAAAATCTTTAGCATAATATAAATAACTATATCTTATAAATGTCAATCCCACATTTATTCAATACATAGTTTTTTCTATTACTTAATAATTATACAAGCAAATATCTTATTTTCTGCACAAAGTAAAGCCAGCCTCAATCTTCAATACAAAAGAGCAATTCCTTAAAAAGTTCAACACAAATCACTGTATTGCTCTAATTCATTAATTTTTGCATATATCTCATTTGCAATTTACCACAAAAAATTCACTTTCATTGAATGTTAAATAACAAAAATAATTAAAAGTTGTGAGAAAATGAAAACAACCATTAATATTTTTGGAATTCATTCAACTTTTTCAGATTAACAAATTTATTTATTCCTTTAATGCATTAAAATGATTAAGTTACAAAGTTACCAAGTTACACGAGTTTAGTAACTGTGTATTTACTGAAATTGAGTATTTATTAACTGATACATGATATAACATCTCGAAATTCGTATCTCTTTGTAATGTTTATTTGTATAATCAGCACAATTATTGTATACTTTATATTGTAAATAACATTGTGCGCTTATTTATAAATATTATTTTTTATATGACAAATAGTATACTATACAAACTTTATATACAAAGAATTCAATTATCTAACTCTTTCAATATATTATTGAATAATATATTTATTACATCATTTTTTTATTAATTACTTTAAACCAGTGTGGTACAATTTAACACGTTTCGTACAGAGCCGTTTCTGCACGACTTTCCATTCAAACCGCGTGTACTACTGATGGTTCACGTTGGCGCAGTTTATTATTAAAAGAAAGAGGCAACGTACAAAATGCAATACACACAATATTGTAGATTGGGAACTGAAACGGTATGTTATGATGTATTTTTTTTTAAACAAGATATACACAAATGGGATTGATTAGGACAATTACTACAGAATGTCCTACTCGTTTAGTTGTATTTCTTGCCAGTTGAGTACCGACCATTTATGAAATTTTCTTTATAACAAGAAGTGCAACGTTGCCTTCTTTCCTTTTAATTTCGTGGCGTGTTCTAAGGCTATTGATGAATTTACGATAATGTATCTGTTTATACTTAAACTATCAAACAAACGGTCTGAATGGAAAGTTCAGCGGGTGGCATTGGTGATAAACACAACACGGAACGTGTTATTGAGTGTATATGCTTAAGAATGTCATTGAAAGTGGAATGATTGTAATATATACAAACTGTTTAAATTATGAATTAGAAATACGTAAAAATCCCGGTTTTAAAGGGAAACACTTTTATTCTGTCACGCGTGTAAAATGATCCAGTAAGCCAAAAAATTACACTACACATATTAAAATATCTTTAGTAACTTACCATGATCTTGGCTCATTGATACTACTGCCGGGCTCGTGTTAGCACTGTTGGCAGCAGCAATATTCGTGTTGGTCCCCTCGTCGGCTGTACGCTTGAAGAAATTGTGCTGAAGTGCATAATACGGTGTCACTCTTGTTTTGGGATCAAAGTCCAGCATCCGCAATATCAAGTCTTTGAATTTGAGGTAATCGGAAATTGAATGACCAGGTTCACCTATCCTTCTACCACCGGGGCCTCCGCTTTCGACACCTAAGATATCGTGCAAGCGTCTTGTGCCAGGAGGTTTGTACTTTTTACCATCCTTTGACTTTTTCAGCACATACGAGCCATCCGTGGGGACTTTGTCAAAGTATTTCCGCGCTTTATGTGCTTGGTCCAATATATGTTTCGGTGGCATTCCTAGTACTTCTACGATTTTATTCATTTGATCGACCTGTAGAACAAGAAAATAAATAATGAATATGCTATACTTATTTTTTAAATAACAATTACAGTGCTTAATAGCTCAATGTATTTGAAAGTTTTTCATTGATTAATTACATACATACACAAAAATTAATATTTTTAATGCTAAATACCATAAATGAAAAATATTGTAAAAGAACAAAGATTGTATAGCGCAGGCTAATATTGTTACCTCATTGGCCCCACTGAACAGAGGTTCTCCTGTATGCATTTCAACTAAAATACATCCTAGACTCCACATGTCTATCGCAAGGTCGTAAGGTATTCCTAATAAGACTTCGGGAGATCGGTAAAACCTGGACTGAATATATTGGTATATCTGCAAAAAAAAAAGAAAGAAAATTCATAAGAATCAGTTTTTAAACATTAACAAGTTATGAAATGTTATCGTACACTCACTCTCTGTCCAAGTTGACACGAACTACCAAAGTCCACTATTTTTATCGCACTTCGTTTGGGATTGCACAAAAGTATGTTTTCGGGTTTCAGATCACAGTGAATGATGTTCAATTCCGGTGTAGACAGGAACAAAAGGGCAGTACACAATTGCTGTGCAAACTTCCTTGTTAAGTTCAACGACACTCCTCGAAAATTCGTATTTCTAAGTAGATCATACAGATTATATGATAACAGCTCGAATACCAGACATAAGTGATTTCGCCACATAAAATGCCTCTTTAGCTTAACTGTAATTGAAATATTTTAATTTTACATATACATTTTTACATAATAAACATTTTAACTGCGTGCAATTTCATATAACTTTAAATTATAAACGAACCTATATAATATTTGTTGTCCGTATCCGCCCTGTTCATCATTTCCAATAGCCTCACTTCAATTTGCGCTTGATTTAGAAAAGGTTTCTTATTCTTGATAATTTTTATTGCCACTTGCGTTTGTTCTTCATGATCAAACGCTTTTACTACTTGGCCAAAACTGCCTTTACCTAGAAAATACAAATATATTAGATGTTTTCAATTATATTTTCCTTACTATTCACCTAACCTTTGAATATCAACGATTGCGCTAAAGTTTTCATTCGATTAAATACTTGGAAGTTAGATACTAGTATAAAGTGCCGCCGAAAAAAATAATATTTTTAAGGTACATGATGGAGCACAGTGTAACAAAAAATATTCTGTCAATGCAGTATAAAAATGCACGTCTAAAATGAATTTAAAAAGAACTATTTAAAAAATTAATGTTCTGTATTAGTAATATCTCTAAAAAAATATTTTTAACTCTATTTTATTGCTTCTATCACTCTAATTAAGGAAATCATTTTTTCAGGGACACTTTATATTACTGCTTTGAGTATAACAGTGTTTTACAAAATTTTCGAAATCAGTAACGTACAGTGCATAAAGAAATTTCGCCAAACAAAATAGCGCAATGTATTTTTTTTATAAATGAAAAATAGCATGGAATACATCATTCTGTACCTATTAAAGAATCGATCTCATAGCGATCGAGGAACTTTTCCCCATTCTTGATAATATAATCATGATTATCGTCATCCCAACCATCGTTGTACAATTTTCTTTCTTTTTTATGGGAACCATCTTCTCCTTGCATCTGTTGCGCCCTTCTTTTCTTCTTAGCATAATAAACCTGTAAAATGAAGTAGAAAATCATGTAATGAAACTTGCTTAATTTTATACTAGATCAATGAAATTCTTTTTCTTTATGAAGCGAAATCAAAATTCACCCCTAAACATCGGGATGGCGCAACAGTCGCACGCATGGCGGTTGCCGGGCCAAACTTAACCCGGAAGTAAATTTTTTTCTACATATTTATACATGTTTGTTCCATTAGATATTTTATTATTTAAGATTATATTACTGCATAAATCATATTTATCAGGTAAATAAATAATTTCCGTTATTCTTGGAATACAACGTGTGCAATAAAATTTCTTTTTAAATTTCTGCATTATTCTTAGAAATAAATCTATAACATTTGCTATATTTTTTATCATTGCCAATGCAAACAGAACACCTGCAATGTTCTGCACATTTGTTTTGGCATATTTTTATGCAATATAAAGCTTCCATTTTCAAATCCAATTGTTCGTCTATCTATGTTACCTGACTATAATTTTGATGTCAATGTTTTCACAAATATTATTTCGTCTTTTTCATAAATTTGTGATTTTCGCACGAAGATGTTTCTCGACACGAATATGTCTCACAATAACTTATCCAAAGTGTCTACACCACTTTTTGTCGAATTGTAGTAAGAAAATATATATATCGATTTGTAATTATTCTCTGGTCCATAAATATTACGTTCACGATGAGAGGATGAAGATTAATATTACTTCCTGGATCTTGGAATGCACGATAATGCCAAATTATTGGTTGAATAAAAATTCTGATCAAAATTGTCTTATTTTCACGTACTGCTCCAACAACGAATATTCGATTTTTCGATAAATCTCTTGCTAAGCTAATCTGTTGGTGAAGAACTGTTCCAGACTGTATCCAGAATTCGCAGAGTTTCATTTTTTTCGACAGTATTCCACAGTTTTACCCATATATATAAATTTCCAGATCACAGCAATAAAAATGTTTTTCTTGTCGCAAAAAGTCCACTACTTTATATTGTATTTGTTCAGCTTATTAGGCATAAATATTCCGAAGAGACGTCGTTTTTAAAATACAACTAGCCTGCTGTTCATCTATTATGCCTATTTGTGATGCATTCTAAAAAAATCCCTGTAATTTGCGGTAAAAATAGTAGTTACATCTCTTAGTCCTGTTACTTCTTTATCGACAGCCTTTCTCTGGCGCTGTCGCGTAGTACAGTCATCGACGCGAATAAATTTTGAAATACGTATCGCCAAATTTGTCGCTAGACATAACCTTTTCCCTGATTTCGTAATCGTCCGATTGCCAATAAAATTTCAAAGAACACGTCGATTTCAACGCGATCGTTCTTTATGTTTCAACAATAGAATGAGCAGTTAGGAGGGAAAAGAAAGTGAACAAATAGGTAGGTAGGTATGTAGTTAAAGAAGTTACGAGTGTAGACGAGACAAAGCAGAGGAAGAGGTGTGAATAAGGTGAAAGACGGCGGAAAAAAAAAAAGAAGAGGTAGAAAGAGAAGAGCTGCGGTAAGGACAACCTACTAGTTTGCAAATAGCGTTGAAAGCAAATGCGATATTGTAACATTGATCCGTTCGTGTCAAATACGAAAGCATCTAAGACAATTATGTAAAAGGAAATTTATACATTTAATTGTACTAAACGAAAATTTTTGTTCTCTTTTTTTTTTGTGTAACACTAATTTCGAATTTCAATTTATATATATATTTGAACAATTCATAACCAAGCAATTAATTTCCACGTAATTGCTTGGAGTGTGTCGATGTGTGCTCTATTGAGTACGACGTGCGAATTAATCTTATATTCTATTTCTGTTTCAAAGTCTTAATTTTATTTTTATTAGTGACATAATATGCACCATAACTGATTACTTGAAAATAGGTTTTATAATTTAACATTACCCAAATGTGTTT